GGGGGGGGGGGGTGCTCACTTAGCTTAGGAGATAAAGGTAGGCTAGGGTTTGATTATAATTGGGTTTAAATATGGGTGTAAGAATTGACATGGGTCATTATATTGGAGGATAATAAATGACTAAGATTAAGAGGGGTTTGATGGGTGAGAAAAGGGTTTGGGCTAAAATAAATTGGGAAGAATGGGCCTTTGTGTATAAAACTATTTTTATGTTTTTAAACTTATGCACAAAAATTAAAATTAAAAGTTGACAGAAATCCTATTAAAATAAAAATAAGTAAATATTTTTAAAATACTACTTTTAAAAGTTGTGGGTCAAAAAATACGTGCTTTCAATATACACACTAGAGGAAGATCAATACAAAAATGGCAATGTAACGACCCGACCGGTCGTTTTAAGTTCTAGCGCGTCGTTCGGCGGTTGAGGCCATGAGCAGCTTCACTTCAAGTATTATGACTTGTACACGTGATTGAAATTTAATTTCAAGAAATTGGAAAGAAAATTCTCATTTCGAAAGCTTTAAGTTGGAAGAATTGACTAGGATTGAATTTTTGAGTAAACGGCCTAGGAATCGGGATTCGTAGGTTCCAACAGGTTTGTATGATGATTTTGGACTTTGGCGTATGTCCGGATCGAGTTTTGGACGAGCCGGGAGCGTTTCGGCGCCTATTGTGGAAGTTAGCATTTTGGAAGAATTTCATAAATTTGGGTTGAAGTGCATTTCAATGTTATCAATGTCCGTTTGGGATTCCGAGTTTAGGAATAGCCTGTATGGTGATTCTGGTGTTGGGAGCATGTCCAGAAGTGGGTTCGGAGGTCCGTAGGTCATTTTGGGATCATTTGGCAAAAATTAAAAGTTTGAAAGTTTTTGAGAAGTTTGACCGAAAGTTGACTTTTTTAATATCGGGGTCGGATCCTGATTCCGAAAGTTGGAATAGTTCCATAATGTTGATTATGACTTGTGTGCAAAATTTGAGGTCAATAGGACGAGATTTGATAGGTTTAGGCATCGAATATAGAAGTTTGAAATTCTAAAGTTCATTAAGCTTGAATTAGGGTGTGATTCATGAATTCGATATTGTTTGATGTGATTTGAGGTCTCGAGCAAGTTTGTGTCACGTTTTGGGACAAGTTGGTGTAATTGGACGGGATCCCAGGGGCCTCAGGTGGAATCCGGATAGTAAACGGATCGAGTTTGGACTTGGAAGAAGGACTAAAGCAGCTGCCTTTTGGTGTAACCGCACCTGCGAGATTTGGGCCGCAGAAACAGCCAAGAGGGTCCTAGATGCGGTTTTGGTTAGGCAGTAATGAGACCGCATATGCGATTATCTCGCCGCAGAAGTGAGACCGCACCTGCAGAAAGGAAGGCGCAGAAGCGGAAGTAGGCATTTGGGGGCATCTCCGCAGAAACGGAATGGTAGTCGCACCTGCGAAACCGCAAAAGTGGTCAAATGACTTTCATCTTATTTCATCTCATTTCCTCCATGGGAGCCAAACTAGGAGCGCTTTTGGAACTCCATCTTCATCATCTATGTCAAGGTATGTGATTCCTACCTATTGTAAGTTAAATACTTGGATTATATCTAGATTTTTAACATGGAAAATCATGGGAAATTAGTGGAAATTTGGGATTTTGAAGAGAAACCTAGAAATTGGTATTTTATGATTTTGACCACGAATTTGGACATGGAATTAAGAATAAATCATATATTTGAGTTCGTGGGGTTGTGGGTGAAGTTTATCTTCGAAATTTTTTGGAATCCAGGCACGTGGGCCCGAGGGTGATTTTATCAACTTTTCGAGCGGAGTTGTGATTTTATTTAAATCGAATTTTTGTGATTATTAGAGTATATTTTTATGGTTTTGCACATTTATTGACTAGTTTTGGAGCGTTGGACATCAGTTTGAGTTGTTGGAAAGGCTTGGGAGCCTGCTATGGAACTCCGGAGCGAGGTAAGTTTCCTTTCTAACCTTGTATGAGTGAATTAACCCCATAGGTGAAATAATCCAATATGTGCTTCTATATGTGGGGGCTACGTATGCACGAGGTAACGAGAGTCCGTCCGTGGCTACTATTATTCTTAAGTCTGGGTAGTCTAGGACCTAGAAGCATGCTATACTTGTGACATTTGAAACCTTATTATCAATTTAAATTGCTTAACCGTTAAAAAGAGGATTAACATTTTCTTGGGTAATTGCTCCTTGATGAATTCTTGATTGACTTGTTTATTGTGTTTACCTTTTGTGGAACGGGCCGAACGCCTCAGAAGATTAAATAGATGCATCTATGGTTCGCTCCGTTCGACCCTCTAGCAGTCACAATTTAAATAACATGATGGATTGGGTCGTACGACCTCGACATGATTTGCGCATGACTTAATTGATTATTTTGGAATTATTAATAATTGATGTGGCCTCCTTGGCCGGAGATAGAAATTGTTAAAAGATGAAAATAAATTTGGAAATCTCCTATTAACAAAAGAATTGTTTACTTGCTTCATGTTATTGAATTTACAGTCATCATATAAAATCCATGATTGAACATATTATCGGTATATTATTGTTGGCCATAGTAAGTGTCGGAGTCGACCTCTCGTCACTACTTCTTCGAGATTAGACTAGATACTTACTGGATACGCGTTGTTTTTGTACTCATACTACACTTATTGTACATTTTGTTGTACATGCATATATATGGCTAGTGGCCTAGCAAGTGCATTGGTATGGTTGAAACGGGGACTTAGGTGGGCTGCATTCCATATTACGACCCGCATCCAGCAGAGTCTCCTTCAGAGTATCTACATTTCCTTTTCTGTCCAAATTTGTATTCCGGATAGTTGTTGTATTATATTTTATTTCTTAGTAAATGCTCATGCACATGTGATACTAGGTTCTGGGATAATTATGGGATATTCAGTATTTAAGTTGGAAAAATATTATTAGTTATTCTGTAAAGTTTATCTTTTACTAGTTAAATTGAAGGAAATTTATGATTTCAAAAATATTAAAATAAGAATTTAATTAACTATTTAGTGTTGGCTTGCCTGACAGTGGTGTCTGGCACCATCATGACCTTTAATGGATTTTGGGTCGTGACAACATTAGAGCACTAGGTTCACTTAGGTTTCACGAGTCATGAGAAAGTCTAGTAGAGTCTTGCGGATCGGCACGGAGACATTTGTACTTATCTTTGAGAGGCTACAAGGCTGTTAGGAGCACTTCCCTTCTTGATTTCTAATCGTGCGATTTGATTCCTTTGAGGCTCAAGCCTTCATTTCCTTCCTATTCAATCTTACGCGGCGTAAAGCGCTTGTTATAGATTGAAAATCGAGGAATTTAGATGATATTGCAGATGTGGCACATGATGTTTCTCCCTACATATTCGATTGGACTAATGTCGTCGCCTTGCGGGTCATTTCAGCTCAGTAGTTGTATTTCTGATGGTTTGATGCTATGCACAAGTTGTTATGATGTTCATGAATTGTTATCGCCTAGCATTGATGTAATGGTAAGATGCTTGTCTATGCTTCGAAACAGTGAATGACTTGAAAGACGATTTTTTCTCAATGCATGATTCAGAGATTCAATATCTTATTTCCAATGGGGGAAAGGCAATCAGACTAAAAATGTTCAGGTTTGTGTTGATGGAGTAACGAGACTTGGTATTTTCAAGTGTGGTAGAATTTTCATCAGATATGTGGTGTCATTGCCCTTGATTGGATGTTTTAAGTTCAACGATGTTATGGTCTTCATCAATTTGCCGTCGGGGCAAGGTAGTGTGAGATAGTGCCGAAGAAGTGGTTGTCAGGGATTATAGAGTGTAGCAATTTCGAAATCAAGTGGGTATTTCAAATGTTGTCAGCTTGAGGAAGATGATCTTCGGAGGGGTTTAAAGTTGGTAGCAATCTATTGGTTCAGGTACTATAGAGATAGATTTGACTTAAGGCAACAACTAGCAGTGAAGGATGAGGAAGGACATGTGGGAGGTGTCATGCGGTGATTAAACTTCTAGAAGACCAAGTGTGAGAAACAGGAGTCAAGTAGTTGCTTAAAGGAGTGAGTTTGACCAAAGTGGGAGAGTGACAGAGTAGCACCTGGGTACTGTGGTAGGATGACTACACGCCTTGAGGAAAGTTTAGAGTAATTTAGGATTTATGGTGGATGGTGACTAAGTCTACAGACTTAATTTGAAATATTGGCTATTATACGGCGGGAGAATTGGATGCAACAGAAAGGAGTTGCTTGATATGAAGAAGGATACAACATAACTTTGGATTTGAAGAGGTCACCGCACCTTTAGTTGATGTCCATGAGACGTGAACGGACTTGTATAGCTGGTGAATGAGCACGGGCTCAGGATGGGGTACCGATCTAATAATAATTGTACTCAGCACAGCAATGTTGGAAGATTTCGGCTTGTAATTTCCACAGGTGGGTTATCTCCTATGAGTAGGCTAACGGTCGCGTGGTGTTGACGAAGCTTCTACGAAGAATTATACTGGCCATCCGGTAAGAGGTCGAATATGTAAATATGGCTAGTGATTCAGAGTGTTCGTGAAATGTTAACAGAAGGAATTTCGAGGAATTAGTGGGTTAATGTGCAAGATCATGTCAACTATGAAGGAAGAATCTTGGTAGGTTCCAGGTTACGCAAGGGCAGCTTCAAGCTAAGTGGGAGAGCCCCACCGCCTACGATTGGATTGTCTAGTTATCTACTTCTGAGGTTTCTAGTTATTTGTATATTGGTGGGTTATTACGATTAAGGGAAGAGAACATCAGTGGTGATTTGAGCAAAGGATTTGAGGAATATGTGCTATAATTGGCATTATCAATTGTGTTCAGGCTTTGGAAAGACTCAGGATTTATG